AATGATCGATTTGGAAATGATTTACAAACTCGGCTCCGTGAGCTAAATTGTCCGGGTACACTGCTGATTAGCTCGGCTCCCAAACGAGCGTAACGATCGTCTGGTGTTTAGATCAGTCTGATCTGGCTGACAAAATACTACAGATCAGCCTGAGTGCTTTCTAACTACTTAAACCATTCAGTAGTGGTGTAGTGGGCGTTGCTGATAAGAATGGATGTAAGTAGTATATGTTGAGAGAGTGGCAGAAACCAGAGGGAATTACCAGCAATGGGTGAGGATTCCGCCGAGAGAAACGCAAGACACACTGCAGGTGTATGAAGAGCAAATCAAGAGAGAAGCAGAAAAGGAAATGAAGCATATTTTGCAAATGACGGTTTAGTGCAAGGCGTACCATATTTAACGACTGCTGTAACACTTGTTAACAATAAACATTCCTTCCTTCGCATTTGCCTTCTCGTTTCCTTTCAGTAGTATCTTTTGCCGGAACTTACTGTTTCTAAACCTAGTTTAGTGGGCTTTAACATGATCTCATAGTTGATTTACTGAACTGAATCAATTTCCTTCTGCTGATACATTGAATAACTTGAATAATTCTTCCGCAGTTTAGTGCGTAACGATACATTTTCACAGATAAGAGAGTAAAAGATAACTTATTTCTCATAGCAACTTAGCTAAGCAATTTTCATGGATGAAAAATTAATACTTCACCAAGGCAAACACGCTATCAAATTTTATGAGTGAATTACTACGGATATGATCAAAAAGTGTATATAAGATAGGAAAGAGAAGGAAAACTACAAAATAACACTCATAAGAATGAAGAAGACATGTAACTTTAATTACGAGACAAAAAACTTCTTTAGAGTTTGTGTTCCGTCATCAGTGGTTTGAATAGCCCAGTGCCAAACATATAGGCTATGAGCTGAGTCATCCATACATACATGTTTGCTCTTGTATATATGGAGAAAAGTATATAGGAACTCTTTAGGAGCTTACTTTGAAGTGAATGATGACTTTCTAGAATGAAAATATACTGAGTAGTTAGACAGTTTATTCAATGATCGTAGATGTACCTCAGTAAGCATCTAACAGCCACCAAATATATCCTTGTTCGCCTTGACAAATGGAAGAAATTTGCTTATTCCCCCAGCCTCTTCTCCCCAATGTGTCAATGGTGTTTCTTAACAGTATCATCATCAATATCCACAGGATATAACAGATCAATTAAAAAAAAAAACTAAAACCATCTGATTACGCAGTTACATATAATTAGAAAAATAAAATTGTCATTGATAAATTTAGGCCAGGTTATTTTCGGTGACATTCGCATAGTAGACATATTTAGTAAGTTATACACACAAAATTGAAAGCATATAATGAGTATTTTTATGAATGTTTTACATATTTTTCCAAATACTCTTGACGCGAGTCCAAACGAACAGAAGTAAGGGTGTTAGCTTTACAGTGATTCCATCGTCACTACCTTCAACGATTAGTTTATAGCTTGTTTAACTCAATGGGTGCTGAAGAGTTCCAAAGAAACAGACAAAATCAACGTAAGACCTCGCAAACATGTGCATCAGTTCAAGTTGCCACATTTCACAGTGTTCACAAAAGAGTTGGATAGAAAAACAGTGGCATCAAAGTAGACAAATTTGTGTGAGAGAATAAACAATCCGAAGACAACAGTTAGTACAAACATTCAAGCTTTAGATGTCAACGAGTGAACACATCTGCGCCATTGTCACCGACTACCTCCCATGTCACCAAGAGTCCTCAACTGCTGATTCCTTTCGTCTCGGAACCCTACCCAGCCAACCAGCTAGTCTACATTTTCCCATACTACTCAGATCACTAAAAAGAGACTTCGTGCAATGGTACCAGGTCTTGGTTTGACCACCCTGAACCCCCTCTTCCACCCTAATCATGCTTGCTCCGACATGGCACGTTGAGGCAGGTGGTGGCTCAGCAACACAGCCCAAACCATATCAGCCTCTGAAGGTTCACAACCTCATCAATCGACTTTCCTGTCTTGCCTAGTACTCTTCGCCTGACCTCAACGTTCCACACGGTAGAAAAAACAATCTGTACACTGTTCTACGCTTTTCAATGATTCTCTAACTGACACCAACGAATCCAAGAAGCAAAACCAGCTTTAAACCGCTAGATGGGATTTTCAACCTGTTGCATCCTAGTACGCAAGAAACATTTCTCAAAAAAACCTAAAACCGTTTTTAGGTGTTAATAAGTAAGTTGCTATACAAAACCTACACTTCGATTCTGAAGAATGCGTTAGCATGAGGACGTGGATAGTTATCTCAATGATCCTGAAGAGATAAAGGTCATAGGTTAAATAGATTCTAGTAAGCATCAGTGTTTATACAGGCAAATAGTGCAGTAACAGTTACGTATCACAAAAAAACACGTCATTGTTATCAAGTTTTCCAGAATACAATGAGTTCTGTTGGTTATTAAGTGGGTCGATAAATTTTCTGGAACAAAAGCCTATTTAGTCAACTGCATCAAATTGTGAATGATTACTTATTGCGTAGAAGAAGCGAAGAGTATGTAGTCAGATTCTACTGGTCTAGTAAGGTGAAGATTACCACTGATTCTTTGGGAAATTCCACTATACATCTTCATATAATGGCTATTTGTACAAGAAGATAAAATATATTCCTAAAGAGTACCTATTTCTTCATGACAACAGAAGTACGGTTATTCAGTACAATGTTACTTGGTAGTGTACATAAACGTACAATCGCTACATGAACTTTATACAACACAATAGAAACAGCTTTAGAAAAGCTTCAAGAATGATAATAACAATTTTTAGTTGAAGATGGATAGATAGGTTATCAATAATGCTGAATATGAAATGGTTGTGTATCAGTAGAAATACGAGTGTATTTCATAACAGTGAAGAGAGATGAGATTAAAAAACACAGAAACGTAAGTATTAATAAATAATGATAATAATATTTATGATGAAGATAATGAAAATCTAGAGAAAGATAGGAATTGTGGATGAGTCTATACCACAGAGACAGCTTTTGAACAATATACTCTAAGGTCATTAGCCATGAATTTCAGTTGCTTTACCGACCCCCAACTATGAAGTATACAATAATCAGAAAAGCAAACAAGGATGGAATGAACTGGTAGCAAGTCTTTGTTTGACTAATGCGAAACTTCTTCACATCTGCTCATAGTTCAACTAAAGTTGAATTGAGGTAAGAAGCAACTCGGCAGCTGCAACACACATTATAACTATATATGGATCAATGAAGCTGTACAATAATGAGCAACACATCTTCGGAAAATATCCTGCATTGGATATCAATGTTATCCCCCCTTTGGTAAGAGAAATATCATGGAATAGCTCAAAAATATTGCTTAAAATTTAGCTGGAATGTTTTTTTGTGTATCAAAGTGCATAGATTGAATGCTGAAATCAGGTTGCGATTAACTCATAGAGAAGATAGATCAGTTATTTTAGTATCTACTCAAGTTTTTTTCCTTTGACAAACTCTCACCAGGAAAACTAATACTATGAAAAAGTTTATGGAACTCTATAATATTCAACTACAGTCTTTCTATTACTTCCATAAATTTTGCTTTGATAACTGTGTTCAATATTTGCCTTTCGGTTCACAAATTGCTAAAGTATACAAAGATCTAGATAGAAACACTCAAAGTTAGGTTCGATTTCAGTCAAAATGAAATTTATGACAATTAATACTAAAGGTGTTCAAATGAAGATTAAAACTTGACGCTTGGTCTAATATAGCTGCAATTTTTAAATCATCCTGGCTAGAAACTAGAAACACGTCTAGCATCCCCCGACACCAAAAGTGTTAGGTGTACAGATAATGTTCTCTTCAGCGAATTTGGAATGAACTCTTCATTTAGAGGTAAAATGTATTCAGTACAACGTAGTCTGTATCAGCGAATTCGGCTCTAACACTTGTCTCGTACTACTGTCCACGAAATGGTTGTTTTTACTGTGTATCGATAGTTTTCAAATATTTTGACTAATGTAGCTGTGAAATATGTATAGAAGGAATCCTCAAATACTTCTAGTAGTAAAAAAGTGACTAAATAAGGCGATAAGTGCTTGGATAAATATTCATCGTGATTTGAAACTAAATTAATATCGTATAGAAACATTTGGATTCATAACATCTCGAAGACAGGTTGGTTGGTACATCCCTGACGGGTTTGTCGGTGCCCCCTATTAGGACGAAACAGCTGTTCAATGCTTCCAGTTGTTTAATGTTTTCCTATCTGATGTCAGTCCACCTTGGAATCGTGGACGAAACGGTGAAAAGTGAGATGGCTTTGAATGTGATTTAGTCAAGGCATGTAATTCTCCTCATAGAGATCCAGATAGACCAAGCGTAGAAGTGATAAATAGTGACTTAAAAACATAGTTCAAAGATGATTATTTTTTTAATATTAATAGACGGTTAATTGTATGTTTTGAAATTTAATGCGAGGTCAATAAATAAAGCAATCAACAAAGGTGGATAGCTGTGTCAGCTTATAGCTCTGTCAAATTATGCAGAGAAAAAATCCAGGCTGTTGTGACAAGGTTAGTCATAATAAAGACGCTAAAAGTTTGATATACCTAATCTACCTTAAAAGCTATGAAAACACAGTGATTGCGAAATAGTCAGATGTCCAGTTTTATACATCACCTACTCAGTAATTGTGCTCCCGATAGCATATAGAGTTCTGAATTCAGTCGAAGACAATACCTCGACTTGATATAAATTCATTTCCAAAGCGAATTAATATCATATAGGCATTAGATAAATAGAAGTTTTGACAGAAGGGTTCAATGACAGGTTTGCTTAGAAGGCTTGTAGCAAGACCTTATTTAACCCAGACTATACTGGTGTTTTTCATCTCTAATTAAAACACTTTTGTCAAGTAAATTAAATAAATGTGAGAACTTAATAAGTTTGCACGTTTTAACACAGATTATTTTAACTTACTACTAAAAGGTCTGTTCTCTTTTGTGATCCAGATTTTCGAAAAATACCCTGAAATACAAAGTAAAGAGTAAAAATATTTGAAAATTTAATTCTAGTAGCTAATCCTCCTTCACGACCTTAGGGTCATCTATAGATTAAAGGTAATAATAAACAATAGATATCAATAATTACCAAGACATAGAAAGATAAAATTAGGCTAAAGATGTCACGTTTTTTTGTGTACAAAATAACCACACATAACCTCTAAGTTTGGTGACTTTGAGAGAGAAGTATCCTGTCAAAATACCTCAGATATGCATTCACTATCAAATTATGACCGATTATACAAAGTGAATAACATCACGAACTTATATATATATATATATATATATATATATATATATATGAAGTCATAGAACATTTTTGCAAGTAATAAAGCAATGGATACACAGCACTCAAATAAAATAATAATAACTCAACCAAATGACCTTGTACATACCAGAATGGAAAGTAGTTTGGCCAGCTGAAACAATATCACTTACCTACTCACCAATGAAGATAATAACGCTTTCCATTTAAAATCAAGCATTCTTTTATATGCATATTTATACGCATATATATAGTCATTCAGTTAGTTAGTCATCATCAACATAAGACCTGATCTTACTGATTAATGCGTTCCAAGTCCCCCCTCCACAAACACGCCTTGCATCAACAGATCAAGATATACAAGGAAATAAGATAAAAGTCAGGAAAATGGAACTAATATGATGGCCATAGAACAGGAAAAGGGGTCCAAGTAAACAATGAAATGTGGCATAACTGTTACGATGAAGACAAAGAGTGAATGCATCCCGAAATAACGCGATCGATTCTTGGCCATAGCAGTTAGTCTGTAACCCCTAGTTCTAGAGGTTTCGTAGATGTCAACTTGAAAGTGTACACTTCAGTTGGATAGAGGCGATCGGCAGGAAGCCTCATAACTAGGTTTCTCGCTTTTGGCACTCGTCAGCAAGGCATATCTCTGCAACCTTTCTCACATGGCTCAAATCAATAGTCAGAGACTTCATGGACACATGCCACGTCCTAGCCTGGTCAGTCTCAGCTTTTTCTAGCCTAATCGAACTCCAGTTAGCGAACGACTCGGCAAGAGGAATATCTCTTGTCACGAAAAGAGGTGAAACGAGTATTTATCCATATTTCGTAGGCTGAAATGCTTTAGAATTGCAAGAAAACTAACAAACGAATGATGATAGTTATAACTATGGCGTGAAGTAAGCCGAATTTAAAAAAAAGATTTAATTGTGTAGATTAAAAGATGCAGCGAAACCAACACTCAGTTGCCAAGGTAATTAATTGTTAATTTTTCAGTTGCACAACAGCCAACTGAATGACGGACTGAATATTGATAAAACCCTACAAATTTAAACGAAGCCATCGTCAAATGAATGCGAGGAGAAGTAATTTCCTCATTGTAGGCCTCAATGAAATTAGATTACAGTGTGATTTCTGTTGCATGGTTAGCGGTGTTAATTAGTTCAAATGGAATATCACTTTGACCATCTGAGACAACTGTGGTCTAGAAGACTTGTATTGATACTAGGTGAGGATTGAAGGTGAAATAAAAATTTGGACCGCTGCCTTGGTGATTGAAGTGAAATAAAAATCAGGTCAGCAGTTGGACCTCGTAGCACAGGTGGTAGAGCACTGGGCCGGAAACCCGGTGGTTGCTGGTTCGAATCCGGCTGCGGTCCAAATTTACATTCCACCTTCAATCATCACCCAGTATCAAATGGAATAAATGCATTACTGACCCAGGGACCTAACAACATATCTCGGCTAGATTTAAACATCAAATAGACGTTCTTTTCCAGGTACAGCCAGTCTTTATGACACGTAAAATGATGCTATTTAAAAAGCTAAATCTCATAGATCACCCGATTTCCACTTATAGATTGCCATAACCAGGCTAACAAATGCGAGCCCATCATCACTACTTATATGCTTGTCAGTAGTAAGTATTATCCATAAGTTAATTGTTCTTGCCAAAACAGAAAGCATGTATACCAAGGAATATGACATTCATATGATTCTCACTTTTGATTTGTACAAATGTAAATTACCAGAAGTATTTCAAGTGTATATAACTCATCACATGTGTGCAATACGAGATGGAATGACCTGATTTGAAGAATTGACTCAAATTATACTTTATTTAGGCAGAAGATAGATGAGAATCTCAACGATACAAAACTGACAATACCGCTTAATGAACACAGTGACATGCATGCATCCACACACATACACGGATAGATATGGAGACATACAATGTGGTGACATTATTGCAGACATTCAATGATCAATAGAACTGATGCTAGATGACAGTGCGTGAATAGCATATGAAGCGTTAAAGGTGAGTGAACAACATTTGATGAACCAGTTAACCATAGTAAAAAACTAGGCTGTACAATTCTTACAACTGAAAGCTAGAGAACATACAAGTAAATATTGACTTGAGCACTAAACAACTCTTGGCATAGTACCAACTCCATAGGAAATATGACTTGCTTAATCAAGTGTATTGCGCATCTGTTGTTGCTGCATTCACAATACCACCACTATTCAAGGCACAGTCCCATTAAAATACAAGATATAATTCCAGATACGAAAAGTTTAATTTACACTTCATACTTTACGAGATGTGCATCTGGGATTCAATGCCGAAACAGTAGAACTGTTAAACGAAAAAAGTTATCATGTATGCTGTTAACTCGAAACAACCAAAAACTGAAATAGAACATACCTCCTCCTGAATTACAGATTCTTGATCCAGGTAGCTGATACAAACATCCAAGACATAAGCGATAGATCGTTTAGTTTCAGCTAGGTGATCAGGCAGATGTCGTCCGAACGTAGTAAGACGTTTCTGTTGTCCTGTTAGCATTAACACACATAATTAAGTTAGTATACGTAACAGATTTTATGCTAAAAAAACAACAACGAAAGAAATATGCAAAAAGACAACGCAAAACCTTAAACATTCCCAGTAATTCTGATGGGAAGGTAATACATACCAATACTACCTTTAAATAAATCAGTCCCCAAAAATCTCGAAACCTAATTGTCTAATATCGAATAGTGAAAGAATTTTTGGTAGGCTTAAAATATGCAGATAGCATAGTCCAGTTAGGTGAGGACGCTGATAAGATGCAGAGTCATCTGGACACCTTGAGTGACAAACTGAGAATGTTTGAGATACGTTTCTAGCCATCAAAAAGCAAATTGTTTCTCCAGGACTGATCTTCAACGATACCCCGCTAACTATAGAAAGTGAAGCAGTTGAGTGCGGTGAACACTTGAGTTACCTCAGAATTCAGATCAGCTCTGGTGGTTCAATATTCGACGAAATCTCTACGCGGATACAAAAGGCTCCATCGGTTTTTGCTAACTTACCCCATCTGTGGCGCTACCGTGATATCCGACTGTCTATTAAGGACCACGTATACTGCGTAACAGTTCACTCTGTTCTACTGTATGGCTTTGAAACATGGCCATTAAAGGTGGATGACATGAGAAGACTTCAGGTGTTTGACCACCGTTGACTTCGTAGCATAGGCCGTGTTTCGTGGTGTCACCACGTGAGTAACGCAGAAGTCAGACGTAGAGTTTTAGGGAGAAGAGGTAAGTCAGTTGACACGGTTGTGAAGTCTCAACGACTGAGATGGTTGGGAAATGTGTTGCTTATGCCTTGTCGCCGTCTGCCTTGTCGCACAATGTTGGCCAAAGTAGGTTCAGGCTGGAAAAAGGCTCCAGGTGGCTAGACTAAAATATGGCATCAGTGTATGAAGTCTTTGACTGTTCGTTTGAGCCATGTAGGGTGGGCAATGCAGACTAGCTGGTTGAGGTCCGTGGGACAAGAGAAACTAGTGGTTGGAGACTCAAGGTTATATGGCTTGGAATCGATGTCAGTAGCGCAGATGTATACACACATTGTCCTCATCTTAACCGCTATACTTTATCTCGTCATTTTCTCATTCTTTTTTTCTCTCTTTTCTACTTCCTACTCCTCTTGACCGATTCTTCTTTCCTTCTTCACCTTCCATTCTTTGCGTTGTTACTTGATTCGCTGATGTGAGATGTGTCAACTTAGACCGTTACGCAGTAATGCTTGATCCTATGTTGATTTTGATGGTGATTAATGCTAATTAGTGACATGCTTTGGGACGAACTTCTCGAAGTTCCTATGACGAGCTGTGATCTATGGGCTAAGCCAAGTTCAATATGAAGACAAATACTCCCCTAGTAGGGTTGGATGATGTTCACGTTTTATAGTGAATTGACAGAAGTAGGTAAACATGGATCGCAGGATTTTGGCGGTGACTGAATAGTAATGTGATCGCCGAGAGACGTAACGGGTTTGATTCCTAGCGGAGTCAGCGGTGTGTACTTCTGGAGGGTACCTTGGTAAGACATAACAGCTGTTTAGTGCTTGCAATAGTTCTCCAACTGATGTTAGTCCATGGCTATAACGACCTTGAAATCTGTTATAACTTGAGAGACGTATCCAACTACATTTCACTGATTACAGTCTTTTAACACAAGCGGTTTCCAAAATATACCGAAGATAGATTTTCCATTCAAAATGATTACTGTGTCTGAATATCTCAGCAGCAACCAATAACAGTTTGTTTTCATGATATCAACTTAGAGAAAGACAGTCAGTCTTTTCTAGATTAGTGTCTTTGTTATCAAGGTGTTTATCGCATTTCTAAACACTTTTGAAAGGCACTTTGCTTCATTTAGAGGGTGGAAAGTGTAGTAAATCGGAACAGCTGGGGTTTTAATATTGAAGAGTGAGTCAGCTATTACTGCTCATAATAAAGCGTACTGTACTAGTTCACACGATTGAACTCCACATTGTTAAGTGGGCAAGTTAACAAGCTTTGAAGAATAAGTTGTTATAAATGAAATATATTTTGTAAAATTCCAATGAAGTAGAAAAGTAAATTTCTGACGTTTCGCAACTTCGTGGAAATCGCTTCTTCAGAGAATAAAACCTGTACAAGTTATCGAATAGTTTAAATAGTAAAAGGTGACGAATTAGATCACATCGTCTATACATGATGATAATATGAACGTGAATGTCATCGTTATGCCGATCAGGAAGCGTTCACAATTTGTTTTTGTTTATCAGTTAATTAGTCTGGAGATCAAGGTGATATGAGTATGTGTAAATGTAACTGCGTGTGAAAGTCTAAGAAAAAATAGATAAATAATATGGAAGACAAAATTCGGTTTGTTTGTGTGTATATACTTTTGACCAGATCATTGTGTGTGATGTGTTGTTTTTGGAAATACTGTCTAGGTTGGTTGGATAGTTAGGTCTTCCTTTCTGCTGAGTGTATTAGGACTCAACATAGTGTGAAATGCCTCTGCTATTCTTTTTTCTTTGTAGTTTGAAAATCCCTTTTGAATAACTTTAATGTTTTCAATATCGATTTTGTAACTGTGATATGTGGCGTGAACAGCGATCGCCGACTTGATTTGAAGGTTCCCTAGTTCTACAGGATTATTTGGCGGTCGTTTTGTGTAGCTTGCATGTTCTTTAGCCCTAATGAGGGTCTCGCGGGATGATTCTACAATATAATAAGCATCACAGTCGATACAGACTAATTTGCAAACACAATTTTGTGTAGAGGTAAAAGGGACTTTATCTTTTTACTTGGACTAGAGCATTCCTCAGAGTGTTGGTTGTCTTGTGGAGTACAGGCACAATTACTGGTGCCTGACACATTTTGTACTCTTTGACCTGAAGGCAGCATTCAGTCCCATTGTTTGAGAGGTTCTATAGCAGTCTCTCACAGTGAAACGAGTGCCATGTAAGTATATCCCACTGATGAAGACCCTGTATTCGAACATCCGTGGATGTGCTAGAGCTCATGGTGAGTTATTCAGGTGAGTTGTTTATGTCGAGTGATGGCCATCAAGGGTGTTTCCTCTCTGCACGCTTAGTTAAATGTGTCACAGATGCGCTTATGGAGTTCTCCCACTTCTTGTCTGACCGCACCGGGATTGACCTTGTCACAGGACACTCCTTAGTAAACCTAGAATACGCACATAACATAATTCTGTTAGGTGAAGATACCGACAAAATGAAGTCTTTTGGACACCTTGATTCGTTACATGAGAATGTTTGGGGTGAGTTTATCACTACCCAAATGTAAATTGTTGCTCCAAGATTGGTTCGTGCTAAGAGCTGATCTGAAAATAGGGATTGCATTGATCAATTCACTTCAATTCTAGTGCGTCTCTGGTCAAAGGGATATTGGCAAGAATACAAGAGATTTGATTGGCTTCAACCAATGTAAGCCATATATCTTCTACAGCTTTTCCAGTTGATTTAGAATTAAATCAGCATCACTAAACCATCCAGTCCACACAAGGTAAGGAAACCAAAATCATTGTCATGAACTGAAAATCTTTCATCATCATTAGAGGTCGTGACCAGCGGGATCAACCAAGTCGAACATGAGGACAGTTACTAAGTGACGGCATTGGATGGAGGTTGCGCCCCATCGTAAACTGATAGTAGTAAAAAATATGGACCATAGGGTTCCTACTCAACGAATCAACGGTAAAGTGCTGACCGCGGAACCCGAAGGTCCTGGGTTCGATCCTCGAAGGGGTCAGAGGTTCGTACTGCCATGAAGTTCCATACTAGGACGAAACAGCTATCCAGTTCTCACACGTTTCGAATGTCTCTCCAATTGATGTCAGTCCATGATGAATACCAACCTGAAATTAATAAATGAATCCCTACAAACCTCAAAATTGAAACACTGTCGTTTTCTTTAAAACTCTGATTGTATCCAAAGGATGCATATAAAAAGAGTCCGAGCGAACAGATACTACCTTGACGTGGTAGTGGGGTTCGCGTATCAAAACGACCGAACAAGCTACATTGGCTGGAAAGCTTGTCCCCTTGAGGTTCTACCATACCAAAAAGGTCTGTTGGATTGTTGCAGGACAAAAGCGGTCACTGTTATGTTGTAGATTACTATGCTTTGATGCAGGACCGGAGGACGAAGTTGCACTACTAGTTGGACATGCATGTGACAGCAGTAAGGTGTTTCTTGTAGATGACCACCATTACCACGCTGATGCTGCCTTCCGCATGGTAGGAGGGGGAGTAGGAAAGGTCGACACCTAAGATAGCATACCTCACCCTTCAGTATTTCGGTACTGGCAGTAACGGTTTCCCAGCTGAATGCAAATCCCAAACTCGTGAAAAGGCCGTATGTGACTAGCATCAAATAGATGTCTCGTGGGCTCTGTGATCAGGCACCCCTATTACCCATACAATTTCTTTCGTGATTACCCCAAGTAATAACCTTCCACGGTGTGGGCAGCTTGGAAGAGTCAGCAAATTTTACAGTTCTATCAGAACTCAAGTTCTTTCAGGTCATTATCAACCTTTCGTATATTTGCCTTCTGATTGACGTTAAAAAGTTCTAGAACATATTTATGTACACACTTTTCATCCTTCCTGTTTACCTCAACATCTTAAAGTGCAGGTAGGAGAATAAGTTACCAGAGTATTGTTTGATGATAAACAAAGTCCATGTTTGAATAGTGGTTCAAATTTTACCTGTCACAATGTGAACTCTCACAACACTTAGGTACTTGGTAACTAAAGCCAACCAACAGGAAGTCTAAAACGTTCTGGTTTTTCGTCCTTACTAGTAGTTTATTGGTAAGCCAAAAGAAAAAGATCATATCTATAAAATTTCGATTGGCCCCGTTCATCTAAGCAGTCATCCGCCTGACTGTTGAGCAACTCAGACTGACGAGCAGCAATTCAGTTAAACAATGGATAAACGTTTATTAGTACATCCAAGTTGAAAGCCTTCAAGGAAGCTAGTGATAGACCACAG